CAATATATAGCAGGTGAAGCATAATTCTAAGAGCCTGAGTATTTGCAATATGACAAAAGACCGGATCCAATCAACCCCTTGAGCATCAGCATACTTGCTAAAATGTAAACGGTTTTGACCAAAGCAATTGAAATTCACTACTGGTATTGGGATGCCATCAGTTTAGTGTCCTTGTATCTTAACACAGTGAATTAAATAAGGGAAGTTGCAATACATTTGCACATCTACTTCTAGTCAAATTTTCATGGACCACATGACAATGATAATTGCAATAATTAGTAAATCATTTCAAAAACGCAAATGAAAGAAAGGGATTTTTTAGTTCAGATAAACTTCACACTTGTCAAGATTGCCTAACACCATGTTTCCCCGATCTTAAAAAAATAAATAAAACAACAACAACACAAAACTCACTTTACCAGTAACATCTCCATTGGTCCCTTTATTATCCTTTTACTGTTAGAAATTAATAAGTACCTTAATACAGAAACTTTGGACTAATATAGACACTCTACATTCTGAAATTCTGTTATTGGCATCATCCTATTAAGTATTCAATTGACCAGATCCCATGCTCATTGTCATTTAGGAAACTAAACTTCATGTGTTAGTTTTAAACTCAGGGATACATTAGATGTGTCTTATGTAATGTTAATTTGTAAATATAAGGGAAAAACAGATCCAAGAAAATAAGCCACATTTTTGAATAAGGTAATAGTTATGATAGATATTACACTTATCCCTACCAATAAGCTGCAGAAAATTTTGACTAGCATGTTCCTTAGAGGTTCTATTTTATACAAAAGAAGTTCATGTCTTTTGTGTGTTTTATAGAAGTATATTGACAAATTTAACCACGCAAATAAGCACTGTTGTTGCACCTTGGTTTTCCAAAATAACTTGGCCTACAGATTCTTTTTCATTTTAAGACCTGATCTTCATGACCGTACCAGCACATCACAGGTAAGAAATGGTTAGATCGAAGTAAACAATTACGATGGAACCCTCTCATAGTATTGACAGTGGTCATCACACCAAGAATGGAGATACAAATATTAAATATCACGCATTTCTATTTATAAATTGCAATCCATAAAATTCTGTAACTTCGCCAAAAGTAAAGATATCTACTGACCTGCAAATGAAACATTGCTCAATTCTGCAGGCGAGAACACGAAACAAAGCCGGTATTAGTCAAAGAAAGTAACTTTACAAGTCAAGATCCATCAGATCTGAGAGAGATCTAACCAAAACAAACAGTACCTTCAGGAAGCGAGAGCAGAGGCTGAGACGAGCAATCGCACGAGCAAGGAGGACAAGACGACGACGAGCTCCCTAGGGCTTCGACGAGGTGCCAATAGAGAGGGGGAACGACTATGTAAGAGGCCAATCCGAGGCCCATTAGCAGCAGAATCGCCCTCAACAGTCTAGGGTTTAGAGCTCCCATAGCCCCCGCCATTGCTCTTCGATTTCTCTCTCCTAGGGTTTAGATTGGGGTTTGGGTATGAAGATGAAGTTTGTGTGAGTGGAGATCGGGATTAAATTGTCAGCGCCGTCGGCAGTGGCAGTAGATTCGTATGGTTTATTTTCTACTTCACTTTTTCATACGATGTAGTGATGAGATCTGGAGAAGGTGGGTGCGGTGACCATCGCTGGTGAAGTTAACTACTTGCGAGCTTGAAAATTCTGGCTGTGACATTTTAATATTTGCATATTGGGTCATCAAAAGTTGTGACTTGTTTCTTATAAATTAGTTCAATTACTACTTTTCATATATTTGTTGAAATAAATTACATAGTCGTGGTCTTTATGTTACATTGCTATTTATATTAATATTCATGTAAGGTTATAAATTAGTTACCAATTGTATGTATTTTTCTACAGAATACTCTGATTTTGCATCTTAAGAAATATATTTGGAAATATTAAACATTTGGAATTATTAATTCTCCCATGATGGTTGCTCCTCACTGTACTTCCAATATTTTATTTGTAGTTTAAACTTATAATTAGGCTTCTATAAGATAATAATAGCGGAAGAATTAGTGACTTATCTTTTTGGTTCATTCTCCAATAAGTGATCCATGAATTTTTTTTCCCTCTTCATTATAAAACTTTCTTTGAGGCCATGAATTCTGAAGTCATTTTGGTTTCTGTAAAATCTAAATATATAAAAAAAAGAATATTTTGATAAGTTATTTTTATTCACACTCATTTTAGTTATTTTTATTGTGAAAGTTATCATTGAAAGACAACAAAGTTCGTAGAGCTTTCAACTCTCATATCTTCATGATTGATCGAACCACTCGTCTTTTATATAAAAAAGAGAGAAGAAAAATAGTTAATAAACAACGTAGCAATATACACTAAGTAATTTACAACATATTATAGTTGGTCTTTTTTATCGTTTCCTCCAAAATATTATAGTTCAAGGTTTATAGGTAGACATGAGAAAAAGAGAACAAAATATGATGCAAGCGTTATTTATAATTTCCAAAAAAAAAAAGAAACATCCTTCGATATTTTACTGGTCGCGACTTGCAAACGACGTGAATTACGCAAAGCCTTTGCGCTTGAAGAACTTGCTTAAACTTACGGCGGTGACCACATCTAAAGTAGTGGAATTAGACCATCACTAGTCGTAAGTATTCTCAGTGCTTCCTTACTAAATAGGATCAACCTAACGCGCATCATTAAAATTCACCCAATCACTGACACGTGGGCCCCATCAAATCCATTCCAGCTGTCAAATAAAATCACACGCTACCTACCAGAAATGTCAACGGTCAGAACTCAGAATCTCCTCTCCCGCCCTCCACAAGTTCACCCCCTAATTCTCCGCCATCCAAAATGAACCGAATCAATTCCAACTCCAAAGTCAAAATCGAAACCCCATGGCCTCCAACTCCAGATCCACTCTTCACCGGCGTCCAGTCAACCCCTCGACCACCCGTTGCGCCGCCGGCGGACGTCTCGTCCCCGACGTCGACCCGCCGCCGAAGCCTCCGGCGATCCTTCAAGTCCTTTCTTTCGGCATCATCGTATTCTTGGCTTGCCTCCAGTTCTTGCCGGCGACTCACATTCGCGATCCCAGGAATCCCCTCCGCTATTGGATCCCTCTCGGTCCTAATCGGACTGTGAAGTCCGTAAGATTTCTGATTATTATTAGGGTTTTTCTTGAGTAGTTGAAGTTTTGATTTATGGGAGTGTAATGTGTTGATTTTTATTAGGAAAATGTGGAAATTGGGAGGATACATGTTGTTTCGTGGACGGATTGTTTGGATCTTCGCGCGATAGCGGTTCTTGTCAACTCTACTCTTTCCAGCTCAAGGTGCTTTAAACATTCTGTTAATGTACATTGGTGAATTTGATAATGGTGTAGATAATTCTTGAGCATGACCTCAAGTCGGAACTCGACCGAGTAGAGATTCGTTTTCTTTCATTTAATTCTGGTGAGGATTATATTTGCTTCCGAGTTCACACACTAGTGTCCTTAATTATCTCCAACCACGTTATCTTATGTTTATTCCGGTGTAGTTAATAGGATCTGTTGTGTATTGTAAAATCATCTTAAGGTTCACTCTCGTTTTGTTTATAGAAGCAACTTTTAACTTCGTAAAAAAATGCACTTCTTTTTTATCCTATCTCTCAGTGTACATCAATATATCGACCATAACAATATCAATTTTTTATAATCACCTTTTCAAAACATGTTGCTTCTTAACTACCCAACGTTATGATCAGTAAAAGTCTTGTTGGTCTATAAAACAACCCTATGAGTTTTTTTTTCAAAAAAACCCCCCCACAACTTGCTCAAGCTAACCATCTTGATAAACTATTTCTCATAAGCGACTTGTGCTGGGTTTTACTTTTGCTTTGTAATCTTGATCATGAACATTAATACACACTCTTGGTTGGGGGGGTGTATGTTTCTTCTGTAACAACCTTTTTTTGTTAATTTAGCTGGCTGGATTATCTTTGTGATAATCCATCCTTTTCTCTCAAAAAAAACTATTTCTCATAAGCTAAAATGATCCCTCTTAGGTATTTCTTGACCGCAAATATGTACTATGTGCACTTTCAAAAGTTTGCTAAAATAGGTTTTATGTACTCTGTTTTCGATCTATTATTTTTATTTTTTAGATTTAAGAGATTTTCCAACCTTTCTACTTTGAAAATTGTCTCTTGTCTAGTCCCACCAACTAAGACTGTCATCATCCAACCACACATAAACTATATGATCTTTTCCTGAATACACTACTTTTTTCTCTTATTGTTGTGTCTCCTAGTTTTAGTGTATACATAACTTTCATAATTAGCTTCCTTGGCAATGGCCAAATTTGCTTTTAGATACAATTGTTCCGTTTGTTAGTTTTTGCTCAATTACCCTCTTCCAAACTTTCGCAACATGGTTTATAAATTTGATACCATTCTATTTCAAATATATTGCTTGTTATATTATCAAAGCGTTGCGGTTGAATTTGTTTTGAAAATGTATCGTGAAATGATTATTAACTTATCACCTAGCCTTTTGTTTTGACTCTTTCTATTCTAGGAGAATATGGAGGTTTACCCCTTGATTTCATTAGCTAGAAGAACACACTAGCGAAATCATTTAACGTTTTGTGGAAAGGGCCTCTCTTGCCTACAGTTTCGTGGCGACGATTTAAAATTAATTTGTAGAAAGTTGATATAATTTTTATATTTTTGACATTCGTTGCTAAATCTACAATTGTTTCCTTGTGCTAGAAATGCTTTAATATGAAAATGTGGGGTTGAAAATTGGAAACGAGCATGGATAATATGATGATGACGTAGAATATGTATATTTTTCTCCTTTTCTTTTTCAGATCCCCAGAGAATATTCACTTCCATTTCTTTATACCTGAAGGTGAAGATGAGGAATTGTCCTATTACAAGTTGAAAGTTCTACTGCCTCATTCTAACATGGATATCATAGGGTAACTTAGTTACTTAGCCTCACTCCCTCTATCTCTATTTGTGTATATATGTGTGTTGGGGCGTGTGGGTATGGGTATAATGCTCTTATGCTCTTTTTTTACAGGCAAAAAGAAGTTAAGGAGAAACTACAAATTGCTCTACCTGAATGGAACCTGCTATGGTCCTCACTGGAGATTATACCTCTTGTAATCCCATTAATTAATCATTCCTGGAGCAGATATTTATACGTTTCCTCAGATACTATGATCAAGGTACTTCATTTTTCTTTTTCTTTCCCCGATTTATCTGACAGTTGGCTTCAATTTCTAAAAAAGTTTAAATCTTAGCCTCTTACTACATAAGTTCTGGACATTTATAGTTTCAAATTTTAATTCCCTACTGGAAAATCCCAAACCCAAATTATTACCAGGAAACTTCTCTCTGTTGAATGGTATTTGCCAGGAATATCTTCTTACAGGGTCTGTAATAAATTATCAGTACATTTTTGTACCTTGTGCTTTCTCTTCCAATCTATTTTCTTTAAAGCATATGCCTTTACTTGCATACATTTTGAGACCATGTGAATTGAGAGGTGGTACATATATTAATAATTCATCCCTAAACTTTTGAAGCATCAAATTAATGAGCAAAAAGAATAGCTAAAAGTAAGCTATTAATCAGACAACCCGAACTAATCATCCATCTAATCTGGTACCTGCTTCATTTGGCTTAGGTGGTAAGGCCACATATTAGTCTGATTTATTTTCAAAATACCATGAAGAAATCAATTTGAACTGGCTGATCTTTGGCCGAATGATATCCAACTTGGTGTTGCTCAAAACTAGTGCCAATTTAAAGCTTAGGAAAAAGAAAGAATGCATGAAAAAAAGATGCTGTTAGAAGTCAAATGTATGACCCTCAATCACCACTCGAATTTTGTAGTTTTGGCATAGTGCAAATTACTTTAAAATTGTACCACAACAACTTAGATTGAAGCCCATTTGCCATTGTATAAAGTGGAGTTTTAGAAGGAAAAAGTTTACTGCTGAGATAGCCTAGATTTTAATCTATGAAAAGGATGTTAGAGGGGGGAAGTTACCGCTGTGATAGCCAAGATTTAGCTCTATCATACATAAATTTTAAGTAGTATTTCTCAGAGAAGAGGACATTACTAACCGTATCCATGAAGCATCAACAAAATGAACACACTCAATGATGTTATTTCATTAAAGTGATTCTTGTCATCTCGTTCCTATCTACAGGGAAATGTTGAAGAACTATATGGTGTTCATTTGGGCCTTTATGCTATTGCAGCTGCTACGGACTGCAGCAGAATTTTGGGTAGTTATGTAAACATTGATGTTGTCAATGCCATACAAAGAACAGCTGCCAAAAGCTGGGTATCTGATGAACCTTACGATAAGAATGCCTGCACACCGGATTTCAGTTTGCTTTTAGTCCATGCAGAGAAATTGGATAAAGAGTTGATGAAAGCTATCTCGTGGTGGATTAAAGTTCTCAATCTGAAAGATGAGGGGTATTACATTCACAAACCTTTTCTGGGATATTTGTTTACTTAAAGAACTTGAATATGTTCATGCATGATCTCTCAAACAGCATATTTCTGCAGGAACATTAAGATTAATGCAGCTGTTGCGTTGGCGCTTCACAGCAAATATCTGAAACTTCCTTCTCTTTGGAAGATACATGATTCAGTTTCTTCAGGATTTCAAAATGAAACGAATGTTCTCCGCTATGATGGGCCTGCAAGGGTCTGCTCAGAAGACAAGAGACAACACCAAGAATTAGATACTAGCAATACATGGCGGCAGTATCTGAATCCAAAATCAGATGGTGTCTTAGCCCGTTAAAATTATCATTCATTTATCACTGCATGCAAGTGTTACTTTGTCCCTTTTCAAACGAAATTGTTGTGCTTGGAGCGGGAAGATGAAGATCCATGGAGGGTGGGCTGCAGTCCTTTACCTTGTGATTATAATCTGGCAAGTCTGTCTTCAGAGAGAAAACTATGAACATGTGACAATTTGTGATTAAATTAGCAGTGTGTGTGTGTGCGCGTGTGTTGTGGTTGTGGTTGTGGTTGGGAGGGGGGGAGGGATGCGTCAGAAACATGTAAATCATGTAAAGTGTATATGACTTGACCTGATTATAATTGGATGGCTTTTATTTGGTTCTTAAAAAAGTCTTGGTTCTGATTCCCAATTGCTAGTTACTTCCAACAATTCATGTATTGCACATTATTTGCTATAATGACAGATCTTTCTACACGGGAAAAGCAGAATTGTGCAAGTGATGGATGATCGTCATAAGTTTTTGGTAATAATGCAATTTCTCCTGTACTTTCCCAAGTTCAACTAGTCGTTTGATTTAAGCTCACACCCAGACATTTTTTTGGTAGGACCAAAGATAGTCTATATGACATTGGACGACAGATCAAGAAAAATATCACAATTGATGAGCTCTTGCCGGATGCACTAGTAATCCTGCAATATTCTTTCTCATATTACCATCAACGATGTATTATGCTCAAATATTGAATTTGAGGTCTTCTGGATCGGTCATGGTGTGGTTTTTACTTGTAGGGCTTTACATATGATTAGAGTGGCCTCCACATAACGAATTGGGGGAAAGAGATTAGTCTGTTGATAAGTACATCAGTTCTATGAGATTCTATTCATCGGAGGCTACTTTGGTCCTTTTACTTGTATTGAAAAGTTCAAACACAGAGGTCTTTATCACATCCTAGGCTTCTTCTGCTTTGTTTCTTTCATTACTTGAAGTCTTCGACACCCTCGAAGTCTTTGTAATAGAGGGGGAGACCTTAAATAACAACAAATTTGGTTACTTATTACTACTAGCTCATTGGGATTACCGTCTCATTCCTTTGCCCTTATTCCTTTACACTGCTGTGCCATCTTAAACTTTCCTCTTTGGCCTTCTTGCTATCATTTAGCAGAAAATTGTGCATGCTTATCCATTTAAATTTTTGTGATCACCATGCTTTAATTCTGTGTAGCCTTTGAAATTTAGGTGAAAATTATTTAACGAATTGTGTGATGACTTTTGGACAACCTTTAGTCAAAATTGTATTTCACCTTTAGAAGTCATGATGGAAATTCTGACATAGGTCTTTGTACATGATGAGTAGTTGATGGCTGAATATTCTGCCTAGCAATCCCATTTATATTATACTTCTTGAAACGTAGTTTGAAAATTATCTGGCAGCTTTCAGACTCTCCGGGGAAAACTTACTTACTTGGTTACTCAGTTGCCGTGCCTGGCAATTTAGACATGTTCGCCTTTCTACAGTCAACCAAGTCTTCCGAGAACCTCAAAGAAAATAAAGACTATTATTTTATTTTATTTTTGATTTTCTTGATCATTATTTTTCTGCAGAAACCTGCAGTGTGGCGGAGAACAGGTAAAAGTTTGTCATAAGCAACAGATATTACCATCTTAACTCTGTTGGCTCTTTGCTAAGTACATGCCTCAGATTGCGACATGCAAAGTAATTAAAAAAAAACAATTCCTATAAGTCTCCAGAGGGGGATCTACGCTTGCTATGAAGAAGATGCAACATGAGATTAAACTGTTTGGTGAGAAAGCTCTTGATCACTGATTGAAGCAAATAACAACAGTTTATGGTAGTTCCACAAAGGCAGAAACACTGAGAATGCCACCAAAGCGGTCTGTGAAAAATAAAGGCAAGGTTCGATGGAGCAAGCTCTACTCTTTTGCGTGCCTGCAGCCTAGTACGAAGGAGGAGCCTACTCTTCAACAGTTTGGTGGCCCTGGATTTACAAGGGTGGTTTTCTGCAACCAATCTCATTTTCAGAGGAACAACTCAAGTAGATATCCAAACAACTCAATCTCCACAACCAGATATAACTTTGTGACCTTTCTTCCAAAGGCATTATTTGAGCAATTTCGACGAGTTGCAAATGTCTATTTTCTTTTGACTGCAATCCTGTCGGTGACACCAGTGGCTCCTTTTTCTCCACAGAGTGTCATCGCTCCGTTGGTTCTTGTTGTGGGTATAAGTATGGCTAAGGAAGCACTAGAAGATTGGCGTCGATTTGTTCAGGTGCTTTTTCTTATCAAACGCTATCAGATCTTTTTGTTGTTGTGATGAATTAGATATCTTTGTTTTCATTTGGATCATTTTCCTAATGTTACAAAATATGAAATATACTTTAGCCCGTCTTATTGTACTAATATTAAGCCTATTTGAGATATGCATGCAGTATATATTCTCCTAAAGTGAAAGTGGGTGATCTTGATCTGCAGGATATTAAGGTGAACTCCCGTATGGTGAAAGTTCATGTTGGTAATGGAAATTTCATTAATAAACCTTGGAAAGAACTTCATGTCGGGGATGTAGTAAAAGTTGAGAAAGACCAATACTTTCCAAGTGATCTACTTATTTTATCTTCAAGCTATGATGATGGTCTTTGTTATGTTGAGACTATGAATCTAGATGGTGAAACCAATTTGAAACTTAAGAGATGCTTGGAGGTAACACTTCGTTTGGATACTGACATTGAGTTTGCAGACTTTAAAGCTACAATTAAATGTGAAGATCCTAATCCAAACCTTTACTCATTCATCGGTAACCTAGAGTATGAAAGCGAAGTGCATGCATTGAGCCCTTGCCAGGTGCTTCTTAGAGACTCGAAGCTCCGCAACACTGAATACATCTATGGAGTCATAATTTTCAGTGGTTGTGATACAAAAGCTATACAGAATTCGACTAAAGCTCCTTCTAAGCGAAGTCGCATTGAGAGAAAGATGGACTTAATCATATATATTTTGTTTTCTATGCTCGTTCTAATGTCGCTCGTTAGTGCTGTTGGGACTTGTGTCTTCGTGAAGCTTCATTTAGAGGATTGGTGGTATGTAAAGCCAGACGAGGATGACCCATTTTTTAACACAAAGGCACCTGGTTTGTCTGGTCTCCTTCAATTGGTAAGGGCTTTAATTCTTTACAGTTACCTGATACCTATCTCTCTTTATGTTTCCATCGAGATAGTTAAAGTGCTGCAAGCCGTGCTCATCAATAATGATATTGCAATGTATGATGAAGACACCAGCAAATCTACTGAAGCAAGGACTTCAAATTTGAATGAAGAGCTTGGTCAAGTTGAAATAATCCTTTCTGACAAAACTGGCACTCTTACATGTAATCAGATGGAATTCAAGAAGTGCTCCATCGCTGGAATATCATATGGCGGTGAGGTCAATGAGGTTGATGTAGCTGCATCCAAAAGGATGAAATTAGATATGAAAAAATGCAAATCTTCATCGGAGGCTGACCATGTAGGACTTGGGAATTTTACATTTTCAATAACTGAACCTGATACTGCAAGTGGAAGTTTCAGCATGCTTGAATCTTCAGCTGCTGATTTTAGTACCTCAAAAGAAATGAGTGAAATAAAGAATGAGATCATCCATACAGATCATGCGGTTAAAGGTTTCAACTTTAAAGATGGTCGGCTCATGAACATGAATTGGATAAAAGAGCTGAAGATTTCAGATTTAGCTATGTTTTTCAGGGTCTTAGCCTTGTGTCATACTGGGATACCTGTTGAACAAGATGAAATGGGAAAGTTCAAGTATGAAGCAGAGTCTCCAGAAGAAGTGGCTTTTCTGATTGCTGCACAAGAATTTGGGTTCACTTTTTGCTGGAGAACACAGTCTATGATGGTACTCAAGGAGCTTAATCTGTCCACAGGAGAGGAGGTTGAAAGGTGAGTTCAGGTGTTGTTACTTCCATTTTCTTGGATGTTGTTTATTTGAGTCTGATGCCAAGCTGCACATTTGCAGGCAATACACACTTCTGAATCTTCTAGAGTTTAATAGTTCACGCAAGCGGATGTCTGTCATACTGAAGGATGAGGATGGGCAAATATTTCTTTTATCTAAGGGAGCTGACAGGTTTGCCCTTTTACATCTACTATATTCAATCTTTTATCTGAACACTAGATTTAAATTCTTTATCATGTCTTTGTCGGATGATCTTACGGTAGTTAATTTGTCACTATTGAAATAATACAAATGATACCATATATATTTCCTCCTGGTAGAATCATTAAGCTTGGAAAAAAATTTCAGGTTGTAGTTTGTAGCAACATTTACCAACTAGAATCAATAACTTTGGAAATATTGGTGTTTGTATCCTTTTTACTGTGTTAGAGCTGAGGCATGAAGTGACTACAGAATGAAATTTTAAAGAAAGGTTGTGTACTTCATGTGGGTACTACTTTATTGTACCAATACTTATAATTGTTTCCTTTTCTTTTCAGTATCATATATAATCTCCTTGGAAACAAGGGTAAATCTTATCAAGAGGCAACACGTGCACACCTCTCAGAATATGCAGAAGATGGGTTGCGAACTCTGGCAATTGCATATAGGAGGCTGGAAGCTGTTGAGTATGGAAAATGGAATCTAATGTTTACTCAGGCAAAGACTACAATAGGTCCAGAAAGAGACGAGTTGTTGGAGTCTGCATCTGAAATGATCGAACAAGATCTCATTCTTTTAGGGGCTGTTGCTATTGAAGACAAGTTGCAGAAAGGGGTTAGTTTTGTTTTACTTTTTTCCCTCTTCAAATAATGGGTTTGTGCATTATAAAAATTAGACATCCACCTTGCATCTACAGCTTAATTTTATTTCCTATTTCCTTCAAAGGTAAAAATTGTAAAACCTGTAAATATTGCAAAATAGATATCATGTCAAGAAAAGCAACTTCAACTTGTTTTGGGAGGTTTAAATCTCTTCATTTATTTCTAACTAGCATTTGAATTTAGGTCCCTGAATGCATTGATAGACTTGCTCAAGCAGGACTGAAGATATGGCTACTCACTGGTGACAAGAAGGAGACTGCAATTAACATTGGGTACGATTGCACAGATTAATGAAGATGATCTTTTGTTTGTTTCTAACGAATGCTACATTTCTTGTTAAATCTCAGATTCTCTTGCAGTCTACTTAGAGATGACATGAAGCAGTTTCACTTATGCAATTCATCCAAATCAAACAGTAGAGATGTGTGTATATTCTAGTTTTTTTTTTATCGAAATCTTATATATGCTACTCATGTTTTAAAGTCTGATACTTCTTGTTTCAGATTTTGAAAGAGGAGATTTTAGCCCAGATCAAAACTGCACAGCAAGTAATTACTCAAGACCAGGATAGAACTACACCCTTTGCTTTAATTGTAGATGGTGAAGCTCTTGAACTTGCTCTTCACAATGAGGTCAGGAATTCTTTCTTAGGTTTGGCTGTTGATTGTGCTTCTGTCATTTGTTGCCGCGTGTCTCCCAAACAAAAAGCTATGGTAGGATTCTATCACTAGCCATTTTTGTTATACTTATATCCTAAACCTTTTTGGTGTTATGTCTCATTGGTGAATTTTCTATCATATAGATTACCAGACTAGTGAAGGAGTATGCTGGAATGACAACTTTAGCAGTAGGAGATGGTGCTAATGATGTTGGCATGATTCAAGCAGCAGATATTGGAATAGGAATTAGTGGAATGGAAGGCATGCAGGTAAATCCACTTGATGATCTAGTTACATGATTTCATTCAAAAAAAAAAGTATGTGTATATATTCTTATTGCCACAATTGATTTTGTTTCCCCTTTTCTGTATTTACTATATAAATGAGTTTGACAATTGATCCCCCCCACCCACCTTTACTATGTTTAGGCAGTCATGGCAAGTGACTTCTCATTGCCACAATTCCACATGTTGGAACGGTTACTCCTAGTGCATGGCCATTGGTGTTACAAGAGAATTGCCAAGATGGTGAATTTATTCACTTTAGCATCCCTAGCTCTTCTGAATATTTTTTAGTGGGTTCTAATCCAGTTGTTTTAACCTCATCTTTTTTTTCACCTTATTCTTGCAGATTCTCTATTTTGTGTACAAGAATGTAGCATTTGGCATGACTCTCTTTTACTATGAGATATACACTGGATTCTCCGCAGACCTCCTATACGATGATTGGTATATGATGTTGTTCAATGTTGTTCTTACATCCTTACCAGTTATAGCACTGGGTGTTTTAGAACAGGATGTTTCATCAGATGTCTGCCTTCAGGTATCTTTCTTGGTCATCTTAGATTTCTTATTATTCTAATATTCATCTCAAGGAAAAAAGAGAGGAGGAAAACCCAAGTCCCTTCTTTTATCATCTTAGCACTTCTGGTTAATCAGCACTCAAACTCAGTGCATTTCTTTCTTCATAGTTCCATGTATTATAAGATTTGATCTCTCAACCAATGTTCTAAAAGGCTCAAATGAGGCATGAAGTGCATGCTTCAGTACATGAGGAGCGAGTGTCTGCCTTATGCTACCTTTTACACTTTTTAGATGAAGCTTGTGTTACAAAGCAGTAAAAAGAAAGCTCCTTTTTTTAGTATATTACAATTATATGGTTGGATAGAAAATCGAAGGTGTCAGGGCTTTAAAATGTGTAAAAAGCAGAATATGACTTGGACTTATGCTAATGTAGAAGTTGTCTCTAATACAAGCACTTAACTTTTAATTTCCTCCAAGTTTATGGT